TAATAAAAAAAATCCTTCGTCAATAATATTTCATATTAAATCTTTAGTCATTTATAAATCAGTCAACCAAATGGTTCTTTTCTTGAATAATCATTAGCAGGTAAGACGTACCTTTTTTCTCCTTTTGACATTGGCTTTATTGGCCCAATGAAGTCCATGATGTGCCACAGCAACATTATACTTGCTGCTTTTACAGTTTCCAAGTTCCTGTAGATATTTATACACATTTTTGCCTTAATACAGCAATTACACTCTATATTCAATTTATATTTAACTTTTACAACTATTACCATGTGTCCATTCTCCATCTCTTCAATGATCCTTATATTTGTATGTGCATGCCTTACATCTTTCTATGTTGATACATATGCTGCCCCTTTCCTGGTTCTTGTTTGGACATGATATGCGTTTCCTCTTCTCACTGCTTTCATTTGAACCACTCTCTTTTCTTTAGCTACCTTAGCTCCATAATTCTGAAACTAAGCACATTAGCGATGATCATTGACTTTGACCACTGATATTAATAATTATTTAGATCAGGAATACAACATACCTTTCAATCTCAGTGTATTCTATATATTTAGCTGTTATAAGAAGTCATCACCTAAATTAATTTCATTCCTTCTTGTCTGCCTAGGCCATCTCCATTTTCTGAATCCTCATTTGACCATCAAAGATTTCTAACTTGTATGCTATATCTTTAGCTGACCTAGAATAGAATACTCATATCATAACATATTTGTATTGCTGCATGAATTTTATCTCGCTATAAAATATAAGTCTTGACACCCAATGACTCTACACTGGTGATATTCCACGAGTCCAATATTTTTCCACTGTTGCATGTGCCTGTTTATTTCAACAGAATATTGTCTTGAATATATTCTATGATGTTATACCGACCAGACCTAATCAAAAAGCTTAATTTCGTAAATAGAATAGAAAAAAGTCGATGCAGAACGATCTGACAGCCGCGGATACTTTCAGTACGATTTTTCGAAAATGCATGCTCGAAACCCCCCAAAAATATCCAATCCCGGTAAGGAAGAATTCCCTCTACGCGGATATATAAAACAAGCCTAATCAAAAAGCATAATTTCGAAATTAGAAGCCACAAATGTCACACGCAGCACGAATTCACAGCCAGAGACCCTTTCGGCACTATTTTTCGAAAACGCACGCTCGGAACTGAAAAAAAATATCCAATCCCATTAAGGAAGAACTTCGTCACTAAATTTCGGGCACGAATAGTGAAAATCATAGAGAAATCTCCACACGATATACAGAAATCCTAATCAACGCTGTTATAGTGAAAAAACCTAATCCGAAAGCCTAATTACAGAAGTATAAACGATAAAATTGAACTATGTAGCAAGATTTCACAGGCACTTGTACTTCCGTCACTATTTCACATGTGCACCTTTACTTACCACCGCACAAATGTTCATAGTTATTTATCCTGTTCTTGGTAAAGTTCTCTCAATTTCTTAACCTTGTGTTGTGGGCCTTTCGTATATATCACGACGATGTTTCAAATGTTGTTCAATGTTCCGTAATAATAACTGATACTGCGTATTATTGTTTTTAATTATTTCTTTCGTCAGTTACAGTAATTAAAAGACTGATCAATGATAACACTACTTCACGAAACGTTTTGTTCAGGGACTGAAATTTTCACCTTAACGCGTGTAAATATTCGATCATGTGTTTACCGGCATGTTGGATTCGCGTCGACTGGAAGTGTTCTGCGATTGGGCAAAGCTTTGTCTTATTTTCGCGGGAAAATGTTTTCTCTTTAAAATAGCCATCTGCTCGAAGTATCGGTGTAAAATATCAAACGATGTTTCCTATATTTATTAATATCAATGAATCAAATATAAATATATTTCTGTTATGAAAATGACAAATTAAAGAATACTTAATTTCCATTATATATACATTAGAAATTAATAAAATTAATAATAAAGTTAATATCAAAAATATAATATATGGTAATATATATTATATATTAATTACAAAATTTGGTACATGAACACTGTGATCACCTTTATTGAACGTACTACCTGAGAACATTAGGTTCTAATGTATTAGTGGTTAAAACTTCTTTTTCAACAAAACCATTTTGTCAGACCTATCCAAAGAAAGTTATTTCACCATCATCATATCTTACATATTTCTATTATTGCTTCAATTTTTAATATAAAGACTTACATTCTATTGCATGATGCAGGCACACCATCATAAACACAAGGCTTCTAGCATCTTTTGCAATTTGATGCTATTTTGAGAGAATGATAAAGAATTATTATTGGTCCACAACGTGATTGATTCAAAAACGATAATTGTCAAATTATTTAATTTCTCTGATTAATTTGTGAACTTCTATATTTAATTGACATAAGCAGGCACTTTTAAAGAATTTTCTAATATAAATAAAAAGTATCAAAATTATGATTTTAAATATATGTATTATTTGAAGTGTTGAGGTTTATTTAAAATATTAACAACTAGAATGTTTGTAAATACGTATATTTATTTTATTATACAAGACACTTATATTTCTAAAATACTCAGGAATTTATACATACATTAATTAGGTGAATTGTTTATTAATAAGGAGCATTTTAATATCTTTTGTAAATATATCCAAAAATACCATACGCACAGTACATAATACAATTTATAATTTATTTTAATTTAATAATATAACTTTTAGCAAAATTTATGCAGTTGCATGATATATGTAATGACAATCAAATGGAATATATAATAATAGTTCTAACAGCCAATAGTGTATAAAATAGAAAGATCATAAACATTTGTAAAATATTTCAATTAATCGTGACTTTCTTGTGCTTAAACAATTATTTACATATATGTAACTGCGTTATAAGACTGTATGGGATATTTAGTAATTTGTACACTAACTACAGATATTCCTCGATTTAAAGTTTAGGGCAGTTGATCAATTAAAATATTTTGAACACACTTTTAAGCAGTAATTGGACAAAGTTCAGACAAATTTTTTATATTTGTAAGCTCTATTAAGTTTTACATATTTATCTAGATAATAATATGATTCGTACAATAGGCTATATTCAGACATATTTGTTTATTAAAAATCACATTCCATAAACGTGGACATTGAATACGTCGGGGAATACGCATAATTCGTGTATTTTGAATAAGTATGGATACCTACAAGTTGTGTTTATTACTTTGCTAATGAACATTAATATGACATGTATCTAAGAAGAAATTAGTTATTTAATATGAGACGCATGAAAAATTCTATAATTATTTCTATTAATTGGAAATTTGAAATGACGTTTAAGTTCCAAGTTATGAAGAACCATGTATATATGTGATAAAATTTCCTCTGGGTATATAAAGAGACATGAATGATTCTATTCCATATAATCCTTGGTATTAAGCAATATCAAGATATTTATTCAAAAAGTCAAAATATAACTGTAAAAAGTAAAATGGGACATATTTACAATTTCTTAGGGACTTCACACCTGGTTCATACCAGAATATATGTTGAACTATTGTTGAAGACTTTCTTTCTCGAATGCTGGGACACTAACTTATTACTCTTGAAAGTATCTATGCTGGAAGACTAGATTAAAAATGTCTACAAAATTTAACAGTAAATTCTATAAAATTTATTCACCTTGTTTAAAGAGAATCAAGTTATGATCAGCCTGCATTTCGATGAATAATACTTCAATATGACGCACACATCAATGCCCTCATTTTTTAACACATTGACTCAAACATAATTAAAAGTCTTATTTTCCCATAATCAATTTAGAATTTTCTTATTAAATCATGTAAATAAATTTATTCACTTTTATCATTATTATTCTTAATTTCAATGTATCATTTAGTTTTTAAGATAAAGCGCTCACTATCACTGTCTATGGTATCATTTATTGTTTCCAATATTCCATCTTTTTTTTATTCTTTCCCCTGCTCTCTCTCTCTTTTACTTTCTCTCTCTATTGCTTCGGATTTAATCCATGTAGTTGCCTAAATGAGTAATCTAGCACCAATATAACTATAAATTTCCTTTGTAAAATTCAAGAGACCTTTGTGTCTTTGATATGCCAGTCAAATCCAGCTCCAAAGTGTAGGCAATTGTAGTTCCACTCGTAACAAATCGTGTCTTCAAACGATCACGAAGCTCATTTTCTAAACCTGCAGGCTACAGGTGAGGAATCACGCTATAGCGATCCTTGAGAGTTCCTCAAGAGTAAAACGAATTTCGACCAGAAACGTGAGAACGGTTGGCTTATCAGATACCGTGATCAAATTCGTGATATCCTTCGGCACCGGTGAACACAACGTCCACCCAAACTCTCATGGCCTCTGGACTTGGTGCCATTAAATGGTAAAGTCTGGACGATGTTTTGATGATGAAAGTCAACGATGGCTGTGGCGATCGTACGGTGTTCATGTGATCCACATACACTTCTTCAATTGACTAAACATAAGAAAATATTTTACGTTATTTGTGGTTAAAAAATGAACTTAATATTTAAAAATTACCTAAACATCTTATATTACTTTTCAAACATTAAGTTCAGGTCATTTAATAATTTAATTATAAACACTTAACCTGATAAATCAATCATTTTCTTGGTTAGGTATTCAGTTGATTTATTAACCTATATTATAATAATTATATAATTATTTTCACAAATTTTTCAATCATAGAATAACTTTATTGCAGATACTTTAATTTCAAGGCACATAATATTTTTCACAATTTTATTTCCACACATGGTCTAATTCCTTACGTTTCATTTTATTCATATGTGTTTTCCTTCTTCGCCGTTTATCTTACAAGAACAAGTCGCGTTTTAACCTACTTAACTCTTCAAATTAACACGTGTTGACTAAGGTTAGGTCACAAGTTATGCTACGATTATATCTCATAGAACTCCAAGATCTATTTCAGAAGAATGTGTATTAAATATTTAGTAACAAAAAATTGATATCTATATAAATAGAAATTAGAACTTTACATTAAATATACTAAATTTTATTGTCTACCATATTTGTCTGATATTTTTTTATTAACAACTTTTTTCTATATCTCTGACATATATATAAAAACAACAAGACTTCGTAAAAATATTCTAGTATTTAAATACACGATTATTTTTATTCTCTACTATTCAAACAGAAACTTATTTCTTCAACAATGTACACAGAAACTCAGTGACAAATTATGAACTTATAAAGTACACGCATTTAATAACGTTATCAATATTTTTTAAAGACACAAGTACCTCTTTTCTTAACGATGCAAAAAGATCCATAAGTTTGAGCCTCTCGAGAAGGTATAAGTACCAAATACCACTACCACTTGAGATAAAAGAACTCGATATCATACATAGCATCTCAATTTAGAATACGAATGTCAGAAATACGTATTTAATACGAAGCATTTATGCATCCTATCGTTAATGTACTTTTATTCTATAGAAAGTTAAAATATGTTGAGATTAAAAACAATATTCATTTCTCTCCTAAAAATAAAAATAATTCAACAAAAAGAAAACAAATTTTATTTTATAATAAAAAGACATTCATCGTCACTTTTCTAAAATTGAAACAAGATAGTAACGATTTATTTTCTGTAGATAATTTAACTCTTTCGGTAATAGTAGAAATCTACTATAAAAGGTTTATAATTCTTTTCCTACCTGGAAGTATATCACTCCACGTGCTTTTCTGGACGAGCTGTCGCTATAATATGACAGGGTCTTCCTCTTTCTGTCGAAGACGAACCATCGTTTATTCCAATGATGGAATTTCTTGCTCATCTTCGATAGGTAACCACTGCAACTGGTTGTATCGACCGTGACATCGTGTATCAGGGGTAACTGGTGTCCAGCGGTCTCGATATGATGCCTCAGGTCCAGAGACTCCGACTTGATGGGAAGGTATCTCGTAAGCGGCCTCTGTATTCATAAATCATCGAATTTACAAACCATGAAATGAACCGTCAAGTTAAATGGTAACATAACTACACGTCGAAAACCGTGAAAATATAATTTCAAACTAAGAACAGGCACGTTCTAGGGCGGTACAATACAACTCAAAAGTATCTGGACAAATTTATTTTTCAAAAATCCATTTATAAGTCAGTAAGTATAAAAATTTGCAATGACTTCATTATTATTATTATTACGAAAGATTTATAGAATATTGTCTTACGATAACATGAATTTTAAAAATTGGAAGAATATTAATAATATAATCAAGAATCTATTTTCAAGTTAAAATTGTATTTTACAATCAAGGTTCCTAAAGAGAGTATGTGTGGTTGTAATTTCAACTGATCAAACGTGGTTTCTGGTATTTTAATTATATCTTTGTAACACCTCTAACAGTTTCAATAGGAATGTAAAGAAATGCAGCAACCAACGTTAATATTCGTTGGGATGTATACAGTTTACACGCGTTGGAAAATTGCTTCTGCAATGGCTTCTGTCCATTAATATCTTCACAGCTATCGTCAATTGGAAAATCCATTGACATACTTTAATGACCCCGACACGTCATTTATGACCAATGACGTAGTCTACTGTAAAGCTTTTTGCTCATCAACATGTTAATGTTTGACAGATACAAAATGCATGAGTAGCAGGTTATAAATATTGCAAATATTGCTTTATGAAAGAAATTTTTGTTTAAACAAGGATTACTATAAAAGAAATTGAAAGATATAAATCTTCCTGATATTTTCAAATACTGGGAGAATTAAAAAGTCAAAATATTATATTCGAATATAGTAGAAGAACTGAAGTATTAGATATGTACCATAGACAATGTAAAATATAGATAGTTCACCGTGAATATTTAGTTACTGTAAATTTTCTAAATATTATTGTACAATCCTCGAAGGGTTACGAATTAAATAAATTGGAGAAGGAAAGTATCGTACCTGCAGTTTTGCCTTTTCACGGTGTTTCACTGGTTGCAATGGTCCAAGGGTGTCCATTTCACTAGAGGTTTGCGAAAGAGGGCGACTCCCGTTTCCGTCGATTATTCCCCCACTGTTATTGCTAAGTCTCTCGCCTTCCATTGATGTCCTTCGATCGTCTCTCATCTGTAATGCAAATAGACGTTGCATGTCAAGTAAACAATGTGTATCTTTTTATGGAACTATTGTATAATATATATACTGCATTCATAGAATTACTGAAGATAGTACTTTATTTTAAAATTATTTAAAAAAGGGGGAGAGGAATGTCACAGAGTGAAAAAGATTTGAAATTAATGAAAATTTCACGATATCTTTTTATAGAAGAAAAAAGAAAAGATTGTCGAAAATAATATAAGAAACATTTTACTATAAATGATCGATTCATATTAAATGAATTTTTCGAAAAACTTTTTTAAAACTTTTGTCAAAAAATATCGTAAAACTTTATAAATATCTTGATTAGGAAATACAGCAAGATTTCTTGAAAATTTTTATTACGAAGTGTAGTAAGATTTCTTGAAAATTTGTGTCAAAAACTAACAGAGAGCCACAAAACACTCGTGTATTCTCCAGCCATTTTGAAAACACTGCTCGATCCAATTTCACTGCTCGATCTGTTTACATGCCATATTTTAATCTTTCACAGGAATTCCGCTTCACTTTCAGAACCATAATCAGCGAATCTCTATCACTGAATTCGAAAAGATATTTTAAACGAAATAAACTCCATCTCGATTACCACTTGTTGATTTAAATCAACGTAATACGTATATACTCTTCTAAACAATCAAATAAAATCCCGACTATACACAATCGTTTCACCGACAAGCAAACACGTTAAAAAGCTTCTCCAAACACGAAAAGAGAAGAAAATCATGCATCAACCTAGACCCCGGTGATTTGGCAAGTGAGTTGCACATATTCCCTCTCTAAGCTACGGTTATATTTATAAATCCCAAATCGAGGATATCACGTGTTCAAGCTACACCTGTTTAACCCTAGATTTTTAAACCTAGAATTTTATCAAACCACTCAAAATAACATTTGCAGATTTTTTCTTTTCGAAATTATCGAAAGCGTACAACTACTTTTGGTAAAATTAATATTCACTTTTATTCAAATGGAAACGTAATTTTATATGTGCAACTATTTATTCTGTAACGAAAGATTTCAATTATTATTATTTTTATTATTATTACATAATTTTTGTATATATATCAGTCAATAATTTTAGTGTTAAAGAAAAGGATAATATTTTGGACGAATATCATTAATTGAAATTTAAGGGGTGTGGTATGCAGAAGGGTTGAGCCTAAAATAGCAACGGTAGTACAAGTGGAAAGAGGGTGATTCTACATGAAAAAGCAATAAAAATAAAATAAAAATTTTTCATTTGAAGCTTCGTTGTTAATAAAATTGACTTTGAATATTCACCGAGTACGCGTGCATTTAACCTTGGTTTAAATGGATGAACCATCGGTACACCAGCGTATATCCGGGTGAATATTCAAAGTCGATTTTCTCGATAACGAAGCTTCCAATGAAAAAATTTGATTCTTTATTTTCGATTTGCTTTTTCATGTAGAATCACCCTCTCCTCGGTTGTTTACCACCGATGCTGATGTATCGATGGTTTATTCAGCTAAACTAAAGCTAAATACACGTGTACGAATATCCAAAGTTTATTTTCTCGATAACGAAGCCTCGAATGAACAAATTTCATTCTTTATTTTCGATTTGCTTCTATATGAAAAATTACCCTCCTTCCAGTTGCATTAGCGTTAATGGGACACCCTGTATATTAATTGTTAGATTGGCCAGAAAGTAGTGTCATCGTCTTCAGTATGAAATAGTAGTTATCACTTCCATCCCTGTTGTACTACCATTACTGGCACACCTTGTATATCTACAATGTCTTACAAAAACACAGTGAAAGGACCTTTATCAAAAAATACCTCTAAAAGTAATGATCCTAATTAATTCTATGATCCAGACTCCAAAACGCGGAAGTAATTAAGCCAGAAAAGCTTCCTCTCCTCATCTACTTTTTTCTATTTCGACCAACGAACTTTCAATCTCGCGGCGACGACGTCTCGAAATTTCTTCGTGGTCTGGCGAATTTTCATTACACGAGAAGAAATGCTGGGAATTAGTTGACCGCTGGAAATAAGCGAAACCGAGGCTGGTCCGTGCTGCGAGCAGGCTGTTAAGCACGTTTAACGAGAAAAATTTGCGCGACGAAGCGAGCGAAACGGGAAAAAGAATGGCGCGTGGGCGATGACGATGGCTCCTGGTCGCCTTTTGTCTTCTTTCTTCCATTCGAAGGGCTCCTGCACCCGTTTTGTCTCGCTGAAACCCGCTGTCCCTTCGAAAATAATGCGTCACGCGCAGAGGGAAAGAAATTTGGGGTGAACGGATTTTAATTGAATTTCTAGTGAAATCGAAGCTGGCCCTTTTTGTCCCGTCGAGTTTTCCTTTGTGCCAGTTCTCGATTTCTTTGTTCGCGTAACTCCGATCGACGATGATTAGAGGCATTTCGAAAATTTCGAAAATTTTAAGCCGATGAGAAAAGAGAATTTTTTCTCAATTTCTAGCGAAATTCCTGGATATATCGGTGAATTTTATCTTGGAGATATACTTCGTTTAGTTAGACTTTATGACAAATACGCAATAGGAATTATAAACAACTGCAAATAAAAATTAAAATGTATTAAACATTGTAATATTCAGACAAGAGTGAAATTTCAATTTCTGACAGGATTTACTCGATCTGCCATTTTGATTTATGGGTCATTTTTCTGAAAAACGTTCACAATTGTATTGTGTGTCTACATGAGAAATTTTTGTGGTATTTAAAGTAGGATTTGAGAGATATCATGGTATGAGAATATAATTAAAATACTCGAGGAAATATATATAAAAATAAATAAAAATAATATATAAGAAATATAAAGAAAAGAAATATATAAAAATAACTAATAATGGTCGAAAGAAATTGTTAACATTGAAGTAACATCAAGGGCTAAACTTAAAATATAAATTATAATTTATTATAAATAAAAATTTTTCATTCTCAACATGGGATTTAATATGAACATAAGAATTTATTAAATAATAATTAATAAATGATTTTATGTTTGAAGAATTGATTTTAATTTAGCAGAATTTTATTTTTGAACTAGATAATCGTTTTATTTGACTAATAAAATTAGTAATGGCTTAGTAAAATGGGATACGACCTACTCAACGTGGATTTTTCATCGTTTATTGATGTTCCTGGACAGAGCTAGTGTTTTCGAATTTGTATTTCGAACTACTGGCCTATTTCATACGGTTAGTTTACTGGATGTACAATAGTCGTGACTCATGATTTGAATATTCAGGAAAAATAGGAGAAACAAAAGATGGCAAAAATTAATTGCAGAAAATAATTTGTCCTCCTTTTTTCGTGAATATCATATTTTTTTCTCACGATACTATGGCATTTTTGACGATATAAAAATGCTTGAACTGACAAGATTAAAAAACAATTGTATAATATTTTTTCACTGCATTGTTCATCATATGAAACACGCGAAACATCGTTAGTTAAAAAACTGAAACTGTTTATGTAATATTTCTAGCGATTTAAAAAAGATCAAACCATCAGAATAATAAGAAATTACCACAATTTTTCATTAAAAAAAGTACAATACGATATCATTCCATTAAATTCTCTAAATTATAAGTTAGAAAGCTGGAAGTCAGAAATTTTAAAACAATAACATTCGAAAAATAACATTTATCAAATAAAAAAATTAATACTGGATACAGTAAAAAAGAGAAAATTTTGTGAAAAATTAAAAAAAATGTAAATACAATTTTTTTTACACGAATTTAATATTTTTTTTTTGCCTGGTTTGGGTTCATTCGGTAAAAACTTTTGTTCATGCGTGAAATACGTATTTAAAATATTCAAAAAGAATCCAAAGATACTGAAACATGCCATTGTCATTTCCGATCTAAAAATACGAGTTCCTCGACTGTAATGTCTGCCTCGAAGATTGCTTTTTGCGTCTATCACTATTTTTATCGCGGAACAACGTATAACTGTGCTATTCGAAACTCATAAATTTTTAGGACGGTGTAATATCCCATTCTATTATGTCATACTAAATATACGATACCGGTGAAATGTTTCTTAATCACGGCACGAAACGTTTACAGAAATCAATTCGAAATTATCAACAATTATAAAGGAACAGTAAGAAACATTTCATATTTTTCTTTGCTTGTGAGAAAAAGAGGTACGAATTATTACAGGTTGGGTTAGGTTATGCATGCTGTAGATATATTACTTGGTACCAGTATAACGACATATAATGGTATATTAATGAATATAGTATACATTATTAATAATTTCAAGTACCAATATTACTGATAGGTATAACATATACTACTAAAAAATAGCTAGGTGTTAGTAATACTAATATTACCAATATTCATTATTCATTAGTGATACTGATATTACTAATACTTATTATTTATTAGTAATATTAGTATTACTACCATTATCAAGTATTAGTATTACCGATACTTAGCTACTAATCAGCAATACATTATCAATATTATTAAAATTATTATTACACTAATAATGCACAATAGTACAGCGACAGAAAAATAAAATAAAATTCTAAAAGTCTGTACACATCTACATGGCCAAGTCACAGATAGCTAAATTAATCGTTGCAAAATGATAAATAAATAAAAGAAACAGAAAGAAAAGATTCTACTTATCACTTACTCGTCGCCTACGAACGTGCTTCTTCTTACTAGTCTTGTTCTTCATGTAACTCATCCACATCAGAGACATTCTCAAATGATCTACGATACTACTACTACTACAGTCAAACAACGACTCAAATAGGGCTGCAGAACTACTATACAATTACAGAAACAAAATTCGTTCCAGTACCCAGGCGATGAGATTATCCAGCTGACTGTTTCTTTCTCCCAATTTTTATAACTTAGTTCCAATATTTTTATAACTCAGATCCAATATTTCAGTGACAATTTTTTTAACTCATTTCCGATAACTCAATCCCAGTATTTCAATAACTCAATTTTTATCATTTATTTCCAAT